AGGGGGGTGGTTAGAGCTGCTGTCCTGGGCCTTGTCCACAGTTCAGTGCCTGCTGAAGGAATCGCAGCTTTTCAGGGCCGTGGTTTCAGGCCGTGCTTCCCGTGAGTCGAGGCAAGAAGCCTTGTTGTGGAAGACAGGCGAGAACAATTCTTCCTATCCCGCTGTGTAAGGCTCTGGATCAGCTTGTGACCTGTTCAGACCTGTGGTGTTTGCTATTCCTGTGCTGAGTTTCTCCCCAGTTGATCACGTCATCTTTGCTCTGTCACCTGAGCTTCCTGTACAGGTTTTTCCCTGCCCCTTTTAATGCTGTTTGTTGGCATTTAAGGTTTCTGTCTCTCTGTTTCAAAACCTTTTTCAAGTTCGGCTGGATGTATGTGTTTATCTTGAATGATCTGCTTTGATTAAGGAGCAATATCAGCTTGTGTATATATCTACATATATGTATGTGTGTGTATATATATATATATATAATATAGTGATGATTAAGGTTTGTTTTTTAATTTTGTTACGTGTCTCCATTTTAGTGTGAAGTAGAAGCCTGACAAAAGGTTTCAAAGCAAAAAAAAACCAACCCTGAAATTTAAAAATAATAGTAGAATTATTTTGCTGTTTCTCAGGAAGGTGGAGCTTTCATACAGAAAAGCTCCTAAACAAGAATACAAACTTGGTAATAGCCAATAGTATCGTCACACATCACATTTATTTTCCTGTCCACATTGGCAGTCTTGGGTAATTTTGACTTGAAAATAATTGTCAAATGTTCAGAAGAAGTTCTGGCACTAATTTGTCCCTGAATTTTAATTGCAGTGACTTGTCAAATCTTTCTAAAACAAGTAAACAGTTGGCTGCTTCTTGGGCAGTTAATTATCTTAATTGAGGGTCGGATATTTAGTTTTGTTGTAGTGGTCACCTAGCACTTAAACTGACTTAGTTCCCTCTACAGGTTTACCATTTTGGAATTAAAATAATGATAGCTTGGAATTATGTCCTGGGAAGGGAAAACACACCACACATTATAAAATTAAGGGTTTCTTGTTATGTTAGACCACTGAGGCACAGCAGCTGCAGTGTTCCCTTCATCAGCAGCTCTCACTGGGTAAATGTTTGTCACTGAAATAACCACACACCAGTATTTTTCAAGCCTGTAGTGGTTGTCATCCATATCATATTTCTTTTGAATTCCATATATTACTGAATTCCTGGACAAGAGTGTTGCAAGTGTCTCCTCTCCAGTATGTGTATTTGGGTTTTTTTAGTGGAGTGGGGAGTGTGATGGAAATGTTTTCAAAACTCCTCTAGATCAGTATTGTTGCTTGTTCCTTTATTCTTCTCTGTGGAAGAAGGAATTTATCAAAATAAATCCCTCGATCTTAGTAGAATGATTCCATTTTAAGTAGAGATGTTGCACTTTTTTTTAAACAATCATAGCATAATATAGCATAATGTTATGACTCCATATACTTGAGTATAAAGATTGCATTTAAATCCAGCTTAATGTAGTTTAACACACTAGTGGAGTGTCCTAAGTGGTTTTTTTATAGAGAACTTCAGTTTCCATGTGTTAAAACACTTGAATCCAGACATGATTGTTGGGTGTTTATCCAAGGTTTTGTGGTTTAATCTCAGTCGTGGTGAAAATTTATCAGCTGCTGAGCTTGCAAAAAGTATTCCTGAAGGGATAAAACCAAATGTGAACATTTCCATCTTCAAGATATTTTTATGAGAGTCTTGTGCTTCTCAAAACCAAAACTTCTAAAGAGCGTAGCAGTGTCATAACTTAGTCAGGAGCTTTGTGTGCTGAGTAGGGATAGCCAGGAGCATCCCAGGGACTGGTTTTGCCTTTGCACAGGCTCTGGCTGCAGGTAAGATCATAAACACAAGCCTGAGTCTCCTTCAGACTACTCAGGTTTGTATTAATGAGGTACTTGTTAGGAACTTTTGGCTGCTGTGCAGTGTTGTGGCTCAGCTTTTGACTCAGGGAGGTTTGTGGGGTTGGATGGTCTCGTAAAACCACCTGATGATTATGGAACGGAGGAAAAGTCAGCACACATTTTATCTTAGTTCAGTAATTTAAAATCATCTTGTGCTCAGAGCACTCTGGCTTTCGATGTGCAAGGTGTATGTGCACGTAGTCCTGTTAAAGTGCTGGAGCTTCCCTGCCTTGGGATGGCATCAGAAATGGAATTCTCATGGTACAGATGCCTACTTAAATTCAAATAAATTTGCCTTCATTTTATTTCTCACTTCCGTGTTTGTTGGGCACCAGATACCAACAAGAGCAGGAACACACATATCGGAATTCCTCTGTGGGTTGTGGTCTCAGTGATTCTCTGGTTGTTGCCTTTTTACCATTAGCATTGCCTGCATTAGCAGCAGTTGTGTGGAGACTGCAAGATTCAGCAGTGAATTTAAAGATGGGCTTTTCTTTTTTAGTTGAAAGTCAGTGAGGGTTGATTGGCTTAGTGTTTTCACTAACCATAGCTTGTGTTTCTTCAGAAATCAAAACTCTACTTGTCCTTGGATGTCAATCCTGTTCTGGTGCTGTCCCTCAGGGTGAACACTGGTTATTTGTGTGCAGCTTTACTTCTTCTTTTGAGTTCAGAGTGGGCCTTCTGCTGCTGACCCAGCAGGAAGCTCATTTCTGGGTAAGAAAGAGCATCATTTCATGAGCCTGCAGTGCTGCAAACTTGCTGCACCTCATATACACCAAGCTTTCTCTTCTGTGCTATCTGAATTTGATGGCAAAAGGCAGCGTTATCTTAATTTTATTTTCCACTTGCATGCGAAAAGTGTTGTTTTAGTAAGTGCAGATGATAAAAGGCAAAGCCCAGCAT